ATTACAGGTGTGCGCCACCATGCCCAGACGTGGTGACCAGCTCAGTACGCCTGGTGGCAGGGGCCGGTGTGGCATGCAGTATCAGGAATTGAATCCCAGTCCCTGTACTTGCCTAAGCCCTATATTGGGCTTTTCTGCAACTTTAAAGTGTGTAGTCTCTGGCACCTTGAGTTTTGGGAGACAGCAACAGGGGTACCCTGTGACTTTCCCTGGTGATGGAAGAGTCAACAGTCTCCTAGTTAAGTGAGTTGAGCTATCTTGCTGGCCCTGAGGCTCACTTTCTATTAGCTAATTAACAGCAGTGCAAATGGAGTGGGCCCTGCCCAGCAAAACTTTCAGGGAGGGATTTCACTGGCTCTGCTATGAGCAAATCTTTATAGGTGACAGGCACCCACCCTAGGAATTAGATTGGTACCACCTCATCTGCAGCACCCAGTGGACACTAAAGTGGAACAGGGAACATTTCCAAGGAAAAATTAAAGTGTTCTTACTAAAAGGAGTAGGAGGGAAAGGATTCTGAACAGAAATCCAAAAGATGTTTTCTGTGCCAAACTAGTAGAGGCTGTTTGAAGTAGCAGAGATGGGTATCAATACATGTTATGGAAAAGCAAATATGAAGACCCTCTTTATATTCTTTTACAATTAAAAATTAAATGTAGGGCTGGCCAAATAGCTCAGCAGATTAAAGCACCTGCAAGCAGGTGCAGAGGGCAGGGGTTCGATCCCTGGGTCTGCTGTGCTGGCCCTGCCCCTGAGGCATGCTGAGATGGTGATTGAGACTGGGTGTGGTGGTACATGCCTATAATCCCAGCATTTGGGAGAATGTAAGCAGAAGAATCACTATGAGTCCGACCTAGTAGTGAGACCCTGAACACCCTGTAAACCCTTCCCTAAAATAGAGAAGAAAAAGAACCCAGAAAATTAAACGTTTGCTGGGCCATGATCTCTGTGTTCTTTGGGATGCTGAACAAGTGTAGAGGTTATTATACGTTCATACCTAGCTTCTTTTCTACTCCACAACTGTGTCTTTGTGTATTGTTGAGACTAGAAAACAAAACATGACATTTTTCAGATTCCCTTGCAGCTAGGATAATGGATTCAAGTCAGTTTCATTAAATATATATACTCAGAGAAGTTTTGTGGGGCAAAAGCAAAGAAAAATGATGCTTTCTGGTGATTGTCTGCTTTCTGCTGCCAGGCACAGTTATGCAAATATTGGGCTTTTCTGCAACTTTCCAGTGTGCTGTCTCTGGCACCGTGGGTTTTGGGAGATAGCAACAGGGGTACCCTGTGGCTTCCCCTGGTGATGGAAGAGGTAACAGTCCCCTAGGTGAGCCATTTCCTTGGCATTGTTCTGAGTTTGATTTTTTTCAGGCTTAGATGACAGGCACTTCTCTAGTCCTTCTGAAATGGAAACTCTTTACCTTTTTCTTCCTGCAATTTAGTATGCTGTATTTTGCTTAAAATTACCAGGGTGGTCTTTTTTCTTGATCCAACAAATACAGTTGATGCAAATTTCAAGAAATAAAATCTGGTTCTTGAAGGTCCTGGTGCTCAGATGGCCAATTTGGGGGCAACACTTGGTGACACTGACAAAGAAGCAGCATATTTTGTTCCCACAGAGTGAGTTCTCATGGAATAAAGGAGGGCCACATCAACTTCTTGGGTTTGTTTCATTAATCCATGTACCCTCCTTAGAATTCACTGGGGCTTTGTCTCAATCTATCCATCAAGAACTATTTTGTAGTTCTTGATTCAAGTTCTCTCAACGCACCTATTCTTTCACCTCATGGGCTCCCAAATACTTATTGAGTGCCTCCTCTGCTGGGGAATGCTGTTTCCTCTGCACACTGGCTCCCCACTTCATCCTCCTGCCTCCTCTGCCACTGCAGCCATACACGCATGCTTGTAGTAACACGCAACATGAAGTTCCTCAGTCATGCTCCATTTTACAGTCTTCCTTGACTGCCACAATCCAGGCTTTTAGCTCCACTATGTATTTCCATAATTCTTGACTTTCTCCTGTAAGACCATTTTTTTCACACTGTACTGAAATTATTGAATTCTTTTTCTGGTTCCCATGCTAAGCATAACCACCGTGATGATGCAGGGTGTGTCTCCTTGTTCGCCAGTGTAGACATAAGACCCAGCGCAGTGCTTGGTACAACATGACACTCAGATGTTCAGTACATATTTATCAAATTTATATTTTGGTGTGTTCAGGGCTTCAAGACAGAATTATCTCTGGAAACTTTCACATCAAAGATCAACTCTAGAGATGAAAGGAGACTATAGAAACTCCAGATGCCAAGGCAAAGTCAAAACAGCAAAATATTTCTCCTCAAGCCTCTTTAGTGAGAGAGAGAGAGAGAGAGAGAGAGAGAGAGAGAGAGAGAGA